GAGGTGACACAGGTGACACAGGTGACACAGGTGACACACAGGTGACACACAGGTGACACAGGTGACACTGAGGTGACACAGGTGACAGTGACAGTGTCCCCGTGTCCCAGAGGTGTACGCCGTGGTGGATCTCTACGGTCAGTGTGTCCAGGTGTCGCTGACCGGCGCCTCCGGCCCCGCCGACAACAGCCAGAGCCCGGGGGCGGGGCCTGACAAAGCCCCGCCCCCTTCGCCAGGTACCTGACCACTGCACTGACCATGGCACTGACCACACCCACTGACCACTGACCACACCCACTGACCACTGACCACACCCACTGACCACACCCACTGACCACACCCACTGACCACACCCACTGACCACACCCACTGACCACTGACCACACTCACTGCCCACACTGCCTATTGCACTGACCACTGCACTGACCATCCCTTACCCCACTGACCCCACTGACCATTGCACTGACCCCTGCACTGCCCACTGACCATTGCACTGACCACTGCACTGACCACTGACCACACTGACCATTGCAGTGACCACTGACCATTGCCCTGACCATTACAGTGACCATTACAGTGACCATTACACTGACCCCTGACCCCTGGCTGTGTCCCCAGCCCCAGGCCCGTGCCAGCGCTTCCACGGGCGCTGCGGGCAGAACGTGACCACACTGACCATGGCACTGCCCATTGCACTGACCACTGACCATTACACTGACCCCTGTGTCTCTCCGCAGCCCCGGGCCCGTGCCAGCGCTTCCACGGGCGCTGCGGGCAGAACGTGGCTGCACTGACCATTGCAGTGACCACTGACCATTACACTGACCACTGACCATTGCACTGACCATTACACTGACCCCTGTGTCTCTCCGCAGCCCCGGGCCCGTGCCAGCGCTTCCACGGGCGCTGCGGGCAGAACGTGGCGCTGGCGGCCGAGGGCGCGGGCGCGGCGCGCGTGGCCGGGTACTGCCACGGGCTCGTCTTCAGCCGCTCCCACCTGCGCCCCGGGGAGCTCTTCGAGGTGGGCGGGGCCGCGGGGCCACGCCCACGAACGGGCGTGGTCGGGGGAGGGGAAAAGGGCGCTGTCGCTTTAAGGGGGTGGGTGTGGCGGTTGTGGGCGGGGCTTAAAGGGGTGTGGTGAGTGAGGGACACGCCCCAGTGGGTGGGGTTACCTGGGGAGGCCACGCCCCGGGGAGGGGCAGGAAGAGGGCGCTGTCGCTTTAAGGGGTGGGTGTGGCCATTGTGGGCGGGGCATGGGGATAGGCCACACCCCTAACTGGGAAACCCCGCCTCCAGCTTGATTTGAGCACCCCCAGGTGAGTTCTGGGTCACCTGTGCCCCGCCCACCTCAGGTGAGCTCAGTGCTAAGCCCCGCCCACCCCAGGTGTGTTCAGGGCTAAGCCCCGCCCACCCAGGTGTGCTCAGCGCTAAGCCCCGCCCATCCCCGGTGTGTTCAGGGCCAAGCCCCGCCCACCCCAGGTGTGTTCAGGGCCCTCCCCTCACCCTCACCTGTCCCAGGTGTGTCCCAGGTGTGTCCCAGCCTCACCTGTGCGTGTCTCACCTGCCCAGGTGCGCATCGAGGCGCTGGACGAGCGGTGGGCGGGGTGACGGGCAGTGGGGTCTGAGCGCACCTGGACTCACCTGGGCTCACCTGGGGGGATTTGGGGTCACCTGGAGGGGGTTTGGGGTCACCTGGGGGGGATTTGGGGTCACCTGGAGGGGATTTGGGCTCACCTGGGCTCACCTGGAGGGATTTGGGGTCACCTGTGTGGGGTTTGGGGTCACCTGGGGGGATTTGGGGTCACCTGGGCTCACCTGTGTGGGGTTTGGGGATGGTTTTGGGGTAAATTTGGGATGTTGCAGGTGGGAAACACCTGGAGATGGATTTGGGGTAAATTTGGGATGTTTTGGGTAAATGTTGGTCTCAGGTGGGCAACCGGCTGGGGATGGATTTGGGGATATTTTGGAATATTTTGGGGTAAATCTGGGATATTTTGGGGTAAATTTGGGATATTTTGGGGTGAATTTGGGGTGAATTTGGGGTGAATTTGGGCTATTTTGGGTAATTTTCCTCTCTCAGGTGGGGAACCGTCTGGGGATGGATTTGGGGATATTTTGGGGTGGATTTGGGGTGAATTTGGCCTGTTTTGCTCCCAGGTGGGGAACCGGCTGGGCGTGGATTGGGGGATATTTTGGGGTGAATTTGGGATATTTTGGGGATATTTTGGGGTGAATTTGGGCTATTTTGGGGTGAATTTGGCCTGTTTGGCTCCCAGGTGGGGAACCGGCTGGGCGTGGATTTGGGATATTTTGGGGTGAATTTGGGCTGTTTTGGGGTGAATTTGGGGTGTTTTGGCTCTCCCAGGTGGGGAACCGGCTGGGCGTGCGCCGCGGGCCGGACGATTCCATGCACCTGGTGGTGGACGGGCAGGACATGGGGCCCGCGGCCACCGGCGTGGCCAAGGTACGCCGCACCTGGGGGGGACAAACACTCACCTGGGCACACCTGGGGGGACAAACACACACCTGGGGGGACAAACACACACCTGGTGGGCTCACCTGGGCTCACCTGGGGGGGTTTGGGGGGGATTTGGGGTTACCTGGGCAGTGGGCGGGGCCCAGGTGCACCACAACTACGGCGTCAGCCTGGACAGACTGACGGGCAGTGGGGTCTGAGCGCACCTGGACTCACCTGGGCTCACCTGGGGGGATTTGGGGTCACCTGGAGGGGGTTTGGGGTCACCTGGGGGGGATTTGGGGTCACCTGGAGGGGATTTGGGCTCACCTGGGCTCACCTGGAGGGATTTGGGGTCACCTGTGTGGGGTTTGGGGTCACCTGGGGGGATTTGGGGTCACCTGGGCTCACCTGTGTGGGGTTTGGGGATGGTTTTGGGGTAAATTTGGGATGTTGCAGGTGGGAAACACCTGGAGATGGATTTGGGGTAAATTTGGGATGTTTTGGGTAAATGTTGGTCTCAGGTGGGCAACCGGCTGGGGATGGATTTGGGGATATTTTGGAATATTTTGGGGTAAATCTGGGATATTTTGGGGTAAATTTGGGATATTTTGGGGTGAATTTGGGGTGAATTTGGGGTGAATTTGGGCTATTTTGGGTAATTTTCCTCTCTCAGGTGGGGAACCGTCTGGGGATGGATTTGGGGATATTTTGGGGTGGATTTGGGGTGAATTTGGCCTGTTTTGCTCCCAGGTGGGGAACCGGCTGGGCGTGGATTGGGGGATATTTTGGGGTGAATTTGGGATATTTTGGGGATATTTTGGGGTGAATTTGGGCTATTTTGGGGTGAATTTGGCCTGTTTGGCTCCCAGGTGGGGAACCGGCTGGGCGTGGATTTGGGATATTTTGGGGTGAATTTGGGCTGTTTTGGGGTGAATTTGGGGATTTGGGGATATTTTGGGGTAAATTTGGGGTAAATTTGGGATATTTTGGGGTGAATTTGGGATATTTTGGGGTGAATTTGGGGTGAATTTGGCCTGTTTTGGCTCTCCCAGGTGGGGAACCGGCTGGGCGTGCGCCGCGGGCCGGACGATTCCATGCACCTGGTGGTGGACGGGCAGGACATGGGGCCCGCGGCCACCGGCGTGGCCAAACCTGGGGGGGACAAACACACACCTGGCACAGCTGGGGGGGTAAACAACACACCTGGGGGCACCTGGGACACCTGGGACAGACCCACGGCCACCGGCGTGGCCAAGGTACCGCCACGCCTCGGGGTGACACCTGGGGGGACAAACACACACCTGGGGGGTCCTGGGGCACACCTGGGGGGTGACACACACCTGAGACACACCTGGGGCACACCTGGGCACACCTGGGCACACCTGTGATACACCTGGGCACACCTGGGCACACCTGGGCACACCTGTGATATACCTGGGCACACCTGGGCACACCTGTGATACACCTGGGACACACCTGGGCACACCTGGGCACACCTGGGCTCACCTGGGGCACACCTGGGACACACCTGGGCACACCTGGGGACTGGGAGGGACTGGGGGGCTCCCAGTATGGACTGGGAGGGATTGATGTGCTCCCAGTATGGACTGGGAGGGACTGGGGGGCTCCCAGTATGGACTGGGAGGGACTGGGAGGGACTGGGGGGCACTGGGAGGGACTGGGAGGGACTGGGGGGGACTGGGTTATACTGGGAGGGACTGCGTTATACTGGTCTGTACTGGGTTGTACTGGGAGGGGAACTGGTTTATACTGGGATGGACTGGGAGTTAATTGGGAGGGACTGGGAGGCAGTTGGGTTATACTGGGATGGACTGGGTTATACTGGGAGGGAACTGGGTTATACTGGTTTGTACTGGGAGGGGCTGTGCCTGCACTGGGGTGCCCCGGCAGGAACGCCCTGCTGGCCCCGCCCCCTTTAACCCTTTCATGCCTGTTTACACCCCAGATTTTTTACATTTTTATATATATATTTATAATTTTTTCACTACATTTTATATTAATTTATATTTATTTATATTTTGTGTATTTCCCAGGGTCCCCCCACGTTCCTGGGGTGCCCTGGCAGGAACACCCTGCTGTCCCTGCCCCCTTTAACCCTTTCATTCCCATTTTAACCCCAGATTTTGGATATTTCTGTATATAATTTTGTATTTTTTTTGCCATATTTTATATTTATTTATTTTTATTTATATTTTGTGTATCTCTCAGGGTCCCCCGACGTTCCTGGGGTGCCACGGCAGGAACATCCTGCTGTCCCTGCCCCCTTTAACCCTTTCATCACCGTTTACACCCCAGATTTTGGATATTTCTGTATATTTTTATACTTTTTTTGCCCTGTATTTTATATTAATTTATATTTATTTATATTTTTTCCCTCTCCCAGGGCCCCCCCACGTTCCTGGGGTGCCACGGCAGGAACATCCTGCTGTCCAACGGCGCCCGCACGGCCACGCGCGTCTCCAGCTACAACCAGGGGCTGGTGCTGGTGGGGCCGCCCCTCCCCCCCGGCCGCCTCTTCCAGGTACCCCGGGGGGGGTGTGACGTCATCGGGGGGTGTGTGACGTCATACGGGACTCGGTGATGTCACCGGGGACGGGCGTGACGTCATAGGGGGCGGTGTGACGTCACAAGGGACGCAGCGATGTCGTTAGGGATGGTGGTGATGTCATAGGAAATGACTGTGATGTCATAGGGGATGGGCCAGTGGGGATCAGGGACTCTGTGATGTCATAGTGGGGAGTGGTGATGTCATACACGAGGCAATGATGTCATAGGACGTGGTTGTGATGTCATAGGGAAGCAGCCAATAAGGATCAGGGATGTGGTGATGTCATAGGGGATCAGCCAATGGGGTTCAGGGAGTCCTGTGATGTCATAGGGGCGGAGGTAATGTCATAATGGACATGGTGACATCGTATGGGATGGGCCAGTGGGCATCCAGGATTCCTGTGATGTCATAGGGGGTGTGGTGATGTCATAAGGGAAGGAGATGATGTCACATGGGCCATAGTGACATCATAGAGGCGGTGGTGATGTCATAGGACATGGCTGTGATCTCATAAGGGAGCGGCCAATGGGGGATGGGGCAGCCGGTGATGTCATAGTGGATTGACCAATGGGAATAAGGGACTCCTGTGATGTCATAAGGGGGGGTGGGAAGATGGGAACTGGGGAGGTGATGACGTCAGAGGGGACACCGTGATGTCATGGGTGGGGCTGTGAGACACTGGGAGCTTGGTGATGACATCACCAGGCCCTGATGACGTCACTGCTGATGTCACAGGTGCAGATCGACGCCCTGAACCCGCAGTGGAGCCGATTTGGGGGGGGCTGGGTTCATTTTGGGGGAGCTCTGTGACACTGGGGGGGCTCTGTGGGACACTGGGGGTTGGTGATGACATCATGATGACATCACGATGACGTCACGGTGATGTCCCAGGGGCAGATCGACGCCCTGAACCCGCAGTGGAGCCGATCTTTGGGGGGGCT